TGCACAGTTCACCTGGCTATCTCATCTGACAGCCATGCCGTATAATGGGTAGACATCACGAAGAAATGCTTCCCTGAAGGCTGTGCGGTTTGTCTCCCCCAGTTCATTCACTGTCACTAACAGCAGGAGCTTGGAGTCTGCCTGCTCAGTTTGGAAATAAAACCCAGTCTGGATGTATGGCCTCTAATCCAGCGACCTGTTACAGACCTACAGAGTAGGACTTGGGGAGCAGCTGTGGTTTGGACTCTCTCTCTGAAAGCAGTATGTGCAGATGAACATAAAACATGTGCTGAATTGCGTCTGCCTGTCCTCAGGCTTGAGTATCTGCAGCCAGAGAGAGCAGGGCTCTGAGCGGGGTAAACGTTTTCCCAGCAAAGTCTCAAACTGCACGGGCAGATTCTACTCTGGTGCCATGAAATGCTCAGTTGTGGCTCAACATGACACATCCAGGTCTTCAGGGCTTACTCCACCTTGGTTCATGCCAATTCACAGGAGGAGCAACTGTGCTGAAACCAGCAGGAGTACAGTTGTACAACAGGGTGAACAATGAGGATCAGGACTTGGGATTTCATGTCAGCCTCAAATTCAAGGTGTCTGCTGGCATGGTGAGAGCTTTGCATCCACTTCCCTGGGCACTGCATTGCTCCTGGAGCAGAGCTGCTGGTGCCAGGGCCGAGCAGTAATGCCTGTGGCAGGTGCCTGTGGCCCCAGATACTCTGAACAGCCCTCCCCAGCTCTGGGCAGAGTGTCCCCATCTCCCCCTCGTCGGCAGTCCGACTGGAAGCCAGATGTACTCTTATGTCTCCCAGCAAGAATTTACTGCTCATTAAAAAATAATCTGTGATACAATTTCCCTGAAGCAACAAAAGAGCATCATCGCCCTCTTGCACCATACTAAATGTAGACGCCTGAGCCACGGCCAGCTGGCAGAGCACTGCTTGCAAATGCTGATGCCGGCAATATGCCTTTGAAGAGGCTGGAGGCATGGATGAAGTGGTCTCTCAGGAGTTCAGTAGTCACTTTTTTTTTTTTTTTTGTCTCATAAAGCGGTGTCCAAATTGCAGAGCTGTAGAGGAGTCACAGCAAAGAAAGAAGAGAACCTGATTTTTTTTTTTTTTTCCTAGTCTGTTGTTTTATGAACAATGTTTTGCTGTTAGCCAGTCTGGGGGTGTCAGCCTAAAACATCCCCTTTGGCAGGGACTTGAGTGCTGGCTGGGCAAGGAGCGCATGGGCAGCTCCCAGACAGTTTGCTGACCTTTCGTGTGATAGGGCAGCGGGATCTCTACGTGCGTTCGCAGGAGACAGGTCATGCAGGAAGCCGCAGAACCGTTGCCCTGCCCTGGCCCTCGGCTGCCAGCAGTGCCAAGGCTGTGTTGCTGGCCCAGCGCTGCAGGCCTGCTGCCCACGTGCAATGTCCTCAGGGCAGACCCTGATGGGTGTTTGGGTGCAAATGGGCTTTTGTAGGGTCTGATCTGTCACTGGTTGCTGACTTTGTGGGAATGAGAATCATGCATTCCCCTTTTCCTTAAAGAAAACTTCTCTCCACCTCCAGAAATACACATAAACGTATGGCAACAGGTGTGATAAACTTTGCAGCTTCTATTGTTTTTCTTAAAAGATGGAGTTTTTTTAACCAAAACCAAAGAATGAGTATGTATGTTATTTATAACCCCTATTTCTGGCTGCTTGGATGGTGGTGAAGGTCAGGCAGACAAAAGAAGTTGCTAGTGGGAAGCCTTGAATGCTGGAGTCGCTGTGCCCTGCAGCTCCAGCACTTGCTGTCCCTTCTTTTGCAGCTTGCCAGTGCTCCCGAGAGGGCTCTCTGCACAGCACCTGCGACCAGGAAACGGGGCAGTGCAGCTGCCGGCCCAAAGTGACGGGACTGCGCTGCGATACCTGCGTGCCGGGTGCCTATGGATTTCCACACTGCGAAGGTAGCCCCTTCCTCCCCTACAGGGGGGACTCTGGTGTCTTGGGACATAGTGGTGCCATGCTGGTAAATGGGCTTAT